AAAAAATTAGTCTATAGAGACTTTGAGCTTTTCTATATGAGTAATTTTGTGTTCTTATATTTTATCTAATTTCTTTGCCTGTTTAGTTGTCTCATTTATTTAGTACTTTACCTCTTTATTTTTTTAAAGATTGTTTTGATTTTAATTTGTTATATATGACAGTAGAATACATTACAATCCATATTACACATATAGAGCACAATTTTTCATATCTCTGGTYGTACACAGAGATACACCACTCCACTCATGTCTTTATACATGTACTTAGGGTAATGATRTCCATCTCATTCCACCATCTTTCCTACCTCCATGCCTCCTCCTTTCCCCTTCCTCCCCTTTGCCCTATCTAGAGTTCATCTAATCATTTACCTCTTTCTATACATTTTAGTTATTTTGTTCATACTGTTGGGTAAAAGAGTTAAATTATAATGATAATAATATATATTTTCATGATAAGCTAATTGTTGTTATATGGATTTCTGCCCCAGATTGTGATATAGAAATTTGGTATTTCTCACAAAGTGAATTTAAAGGCTGGGGGTGTAGCTCACTGGTATGCTTAGCATTCATAAAGCCTTGGGTTCAATTCTCAGCACTAGAAAGAAAGTGAGGAAGGAAGGAAGGAAGGAAGGAGGGAGGGAGGGAGGGAGGAAGGAAGGAAGGTTATTACCTTCAGAGATAAACCCATCTATAAAAGAAATAAGCAACGGTCCGGAGTTGTGACTCAGTGGTAGAGCGCTTGCCCAGCATGCATGAGACACTGGGTTTGATTCCCAGTACCACATCAAAAACAAACAAACAAACAAACAAAAAAAAACTAAACAAAATAAAGGCATTGTGTCCATCTACAACTAAAAATATTAAAACGAAATAAGCAAAATATTGTATCTATACCTTTCCTGTGGGCCTAAATGAGGCTTGCCTAGTGGTGGGCTTCTTTGGGGAACAAAGTCAAGGCTCCTTTGTTGGAGAATCCCCCATTGTCAGTCTCTGAAGAGCTTTTCAAAGGGGGCTGTTCAGCTCTTCCAGAGAGGCAGCTCTGGCCTGAGTAACCATGGAGGATTTTAGAGTTGCCTGGCTGGAGAACAGAAGTAACCTGGGAGGGGTCTCAACTTTTAGAACCTTGTCCCTCTGCTTTCCTCCAGCGCTCCTGCCATTACCCTACCTGGCGCTTCTCTGGTTCAACCTCGATAGAAAGTAACCCTTCCATATTCTGGTGGCACGGGATAAGCAGCATGCACCTGGCTGCTCAAGATTCAGGTGAGGATCTGGTGTCCTCCCAGCCTCACTCCGCCTTCTAAGCCAGCTGGTGTCTCCCATCCTGCCCCAGTTCTGGAGTGTAGGCTTGAGTCTCCTGCTGTCCCCAGCTGCAACAGCTCTGCCAACTCCCCCACAGGATTTTTCTCATCTGCCAGCTTGTTGACATGGCACACCTGGTGTCTTTTCTCCCTTTCACTTCAACTTGTTGGTTTCTTTCTTTCATGTTTTTTTTTTTTTTTTTTTTTTGGTTACTCCTTTGCTAGTGGGATTTTGTGAAAAAGAAAAATAATAAGTCCCCACCTCCATCTTCAGGCTTCTTCTTCTTTTTATTTTTTCTTTGTAGTTGTAGATGGACACATGCCTTTATTTTATTTGTCTACTTTTACAGGGTGCTGAGGATCAAACCCGGTGCCTCATGAATGCTAGGCAAGCGCTCTAACACTGAGCTACAGCCCATCCCCAGGCTTGTTTTCCAATATACACTTAACCCCTTGTTTTCCCGTAGAGGAAGAAATATGTATAAAATGGTCAGTATAAGCACACCAGTTTTATGGCAAGAAGATCACATTTTCCCCTCTGGAAAGGTTTTTGCTAACTGGGGAATAATTTCTGATGAGGCATCTACTAAACTTTTACRGGGATCACCACAATGAGTTAAATGTTGTGGGTATAACAGTGTGATATGACTATTGCCTTCAAAAATCTTATTTTAAGGATCCACGGGAAATAGAGAAAGACAAATAACACACTAGCCAAATAATAATTCCATCACCTGGCTCAAGGCCTAGAATATAGAAGGCATATAAACAGTGTCTACTGAGTGAGCAAGTGGTATGCTAGTCTGTGAATGTAGTATTATGGGATCACGGTGGAGGAAGTAATTAATTTTGCCTTGAGGGGTTGTATGGAAAAGTTTAGTTTTACAAATAGATATAGTTTCCAGTGAATTCTACCATTATGTATAATTGAAATGCACCAATTAAAAAATAAGGGAAAACCCCCCAATACACATGGTTTCATGTGTACTTAATTTAYAGTCTTTAATTTCCTTTGTAATATTTATTTTCATTTCTTTTCCAAACCATTACCTCACTTAGGAAACTATGCTTTATTTTTCACATTAATATAGTGCTAAGCCAGTAACTGATGATCAATAAATAAGCTCTTGCTAACACTACCATTTCCTAGGTCTGCTTCTGCTTTTATGCAGCTGTCTCCTCTGGCTAAGTTRACCTAAMWTTTTTYTTTTTTTTTTTTTTGGAGGCACATAGGATTCAGGAACAAATAAGTCAAAGCCATGTTCAGGAGTGACAGAGTGATGTTCAYTGCAGAAGGCCAAGTCTCAGGACCWCTAGCAACCCTGTATGTACCAAGAGCAGAGTGAGGAAGTTCCCATAAAATGCTGATTAGGTGCCTGGGCCTTCCGTATTCCAGTTGGGCAATCTCAATAAAGTGACTTAATCTTTCTGATCTATTCATCTGGACGAACCTGYCTTATAGAATTATTTGAAGATGAAGTAGCACAATGCTTGTATAACAGATGGCACAGTTCTAGGTAGGTTGTAAAAAACAGAGGCACAAATGTTTGAAGTCAAATTGTAGAGTTATGCCAGGCAGAGCTGCATATACACACACCTGTAATCCCACCAAGTGGGGAGGCTGAGGCAGGAGGATCACAAGTTCAAGGCCAGCCATGGCAATGAAGCAAGACTGTGTTTCAAAATAAAAAGGGTTGGTGATGTAGCTTAGGGGAAAAGGGCTCTTGGGTTTAAACTTTAGTACTGCCCAAAAAAGAAAAAGAAAGAAAAAGATATTTTATAATTATGTCTAGCAGATTTTTTATAACTCTAAAATGCCTAGTTCACATATTCTAAAAATCCACATTATATTTTATAATGTTTCCCAAAGTGTTTTTTTTATTTTTATTTTTTCACTGAATTCAAATGATAGCCCTCCCATTTTGTAACTGGGTTTTTATTGTTATTGTTTCGGTTGGTTGGTTGGTTGGTTGCTGGCCCCAGGAGGACTGAGAACTACTTACATGGTTGGCATAGA